GCTTTCTTAAGGTTAAACTTTTGCAGTGCATCTGCCGCATTTTGGACATTCAATGGTCTATTTTGCTACATTAAACACCATGCGGAAAAAAGGAAAATCAAAGACGTATAACTCAAAATTCAAAATTTTGCAGTTTGATAGCAAACTAACAGCTATCCAGAAAAAAACAGACAAGAAAGTGCCACAGTATCTTCACGGAATATTGATAAGCTATACCCTCTGTCAAGACACTATTTCAAGCAACAAAGGAAATTACACTGTGCGCACACAGTAGCAACTGAAGCTGTAATTCTTCTATATCCTACGCTTACTTCCTCAACATTTTTAATGGAACTTTTACAAGGAAGCAAATATAGTATACCATAGCTTAGTTACATTGAAGCTAATCAGTTTGATTAACAACAGCTTTCGATATTTACACCTGAATCTTCAAAGCAAAATAAAATAAAATGTAATATACTGCATTACAACTTTTACTGCATAGCTGCTAATTTTAAGCACAGAATTACACTTCATGTTTCAAATTTAATACTCATACCGGTGAAGCACGTAGAAATTAGTTAATTACAGTAAATTATCCATTTGTGTAAACAATAGTAACACTTTCAAACAAAAATTCTCTAAATCTTAGATCCTTCGACTATATTTATTTACACATTACAGGTGAAAATTAGAAGAAGAAACAAAGACAAATGCACAGAAACACTACAAACATGGAATTAGATATACTAGTTAGCAAAATGATGAACTGTGTGTTACCTCGTTTACGAAATTGAGCACGATTCCTGCAAATTTTCAAGTAACAAAAAGTCGATAAGCTTTAGGATCTGTAAATTAAGATTTCAACTACGAAAATATTCAATTCTGTTATCCGGCGAAAATGTTCCGGCGAGAGAAGTTACCTTCAGTGTTATCTGCTTTAGGAGCCATGGATTGGAGAATTCACAGAGCGCGGGAAAAAAAGCTTCTGCCAAAATTTCTATACTTCGAATTTCCAGGAAAAATTGGGCACGAAGGCCTTTATACGATGTCGTAGTTGAAGATCGCGGGAATTTACCCTTGGTATAGACACTAATTACGAAAAGAGGATTCTTACCTCGTAAGTTTCAAGTGTGAGTCGCCATAGAGCCCATGGGCCTTGTTGGGATGGACCAACCCAACTAGAAAAACTTTATGGGCTTTTAGTTCATGATAAGTCTCTAAGTCCAAATGTAACGGGGCGTGGAAGATGAACAATCGCTAAGGAATAGCTTGAATCAAGAGAAAGTGAATTCGGCCATGGTTTCAAATTGTGTATAAAAATTACTTCGGCAAAAGAAAAATAATTCCTCTTTCACAAGTTTTGTAAGACGTAACATAACTTTGGTACAACATGTATTCTACCTATCTTGTTAAATTAATCATAAATTGTTAATTCATAAACCTTACCCTATTCACAAGCTAAGGTTATGCAAGGTGAGACATAACTTTGGTACCATTTACATTCTAATTGTATTATTGGATCGACATACCTTGTTGAATTTAAATTATGACAGCACGGAACAACATTGGTACAATGTTCATTCTACCTATCTTTTTCAAATTATTTGTAAGCCTTGCTAGATTTGTAAAATCTTGCATGCGCTAATTAAATGTTCATAAGTTTTATCGGACCGAAAAAACTTGGTGTTACTATCTTCATTCATCTATCTCATTAACTGTTCACAAGCTTTATCGGATTGACAAACATTATAAGACTTGTCAGACTGACACGACTTGATACTATCTTCATTTCACCTATCTTAAATTATTCACAAATTTTGATCATCTTGTCATCCCAGTCTGAACACACCTAACTATATATCTAAAAATTATTTACACTAGCAATGCAATTGAAAAAGAAATCTTTAAAGTTGAAACAAAATTGATTCCAATTGTTTTCTCCTTCAACTATAGTACACTTAAAAAGAAGATAACATATACCAAACAAAATAAAACAAAAACAGAACTTGAAACAATTTGCCTACAAATAAATAGCAAAACAACAATTAGGTCAAATTTCCACCACTCTGCTGCCACAAATTGATAATATCAGTAGCTTGATTAAGCAAAATAATCATTTGCTTTTGTGATATCCATGGTTTACTCTCTAGTGTTGTTTTCAACTCTTCCCATGCATCTTTTCTTGGCCAAAAAAAGTATGGACTTAATGGTACACTTCCATGGTCTGGTAAAACTTGATCAAGGCCAAGTCCAATATTTTTCTCCATCCATATGAATTTTAACACTAGCCTTGGCTTCTCAATTACCTTTTTCTTCATATCAACCTTCTGAAAAAAATAATTCAAGAATTCACTAAGATATTAAACATAATATCCTATCCTTTTGGCTCATTATTTATATAGACATAATTATGTGCATTCAACTGAAATTATTATTTTCATATTGAATAATGTAGACACAATGTTGTTTCAATACAAGTGTGAGAATTTGACACAGGTGAAAGCTAGAGGTTGGATTTTGTCATAGGCGGATCTAGCTAGGATGAGTTAAAGTGCATTCAAGCTAGCTAAGTGTTCAACTGAATCTATTATTTTTGGCTCGTCATCATAACTTATACTTTTAGGTTACAATATAATTTAACTCGATTTTTGTTCTGTTTTTAGTTAAATGACCAATATATTTTCCTAATTATGCCTTATTTTTTAATTAATTAAAACATTCATAATTTGCTAGCTATTCAGTTTCATTAACAAGTGTTGGACTACCATTTCATTTTTAGAGAATCGTATCTTTAATTTAGCACCAAATGATTCAAAAATATTCTTTTACATTTCTAAACTAACACTACTTTTCATGAAATTAACTGAGTTGAACGCAAACTGATCCGAACACTTGAAAAAACAAAATACATAATGAAAAAATTAACGTGCTGATTTTTTACCTCAATTTCTAGAACAACAGCTTCTGAAGTCTCAATTGCAATTGGTTCTGCTTCTGTAACTGCTGAAGCAAAAATCTTATGAATTCTTCTTGTTGATGAACCTTTGTTGTTTAAAGATAATGAAGAACATGATTTGAAGGATTTGTAAGAAGGATTTTGTGAAGGTAAAGAAGGAATACTCAAATTGCCTTTCAAGCTAGATTGAACAGACATTGATAACATTTTTTGTGTTGGAAAAAGAAAATTGTCTAGTGATGAAAAAAAGTGAAGTGGGAAAATTGTGGCCTTAAAAAGAGTGTGTATAGAGAATTTGAGATAATGATAGAATGGATAAGGTAGTAGAAGAAAAAAAGTATGAAAGAAGTTTAAATTGGGCTAAGAGGCCTATGTGTTAGGACTTTGGTCATGTTATGGGATTTGGGCCCAAAGGAAATATGATCATTAGTTCTCATAGCTTTACTACTTTTGTATATTTAGCAATGTTAAAGTTGAATCGGGGTGTCAAATGGACAGGTTAGATGGATTTTGGAAGATTTAAAGTTGAGTTGATAAACAAGTGGGTATTGATTTTCCCAAAGATTATTTAGTTGATATAAGATGGGAAAATATTGAGTCGTAGTCCAATTTGTTCAACTTTTATCAAGTTTACGTTTTTTTACAAGCAGAACTAATGAGTATCAGATTTTTGTGGACTAATTTTGTCATCTCTAAATTATCTAATCAACTTGATCAATATTATCTAGTTATTCAAAAAAAATAGAATATATCTCATGGGTGAAGACTGTTCATGCTTCTCAAATGTTACGTACTTTTAGGTCATTAGTCAGCAGCTTCTTAGATAACGAAGTAACAATGATTTCACATTACTTTCTTGACACGTCTATTGTTATTATTTTAGAAAAATCATCTTCTCATCCAAACGTATGTCGCGCCTTGAACTTGTGGATGAGTGTGATATATATACACCTCTTTGACTATTCATGAAATTAAATCCCTAATTTTAACAAAAGAAGTGCATATTAAGAATGTCCAAGAGCTAGATTCTTTCTTATTGGTATTAAAGTCATCTTTGTAATATAATCTGGAAAAAAAAAACTGAAAATGAAGTTCATATATCATAAATATTTTTTTTCCAATGTCATTTTCTTCATAATTAGTAAAAGAGACGACTTTTGATATATATGTCCATGCGCACTACTCGTTCAAGTTTATGAGAAAACATTACTTGAGCTGAATTTTATGATATTGACAAAATCATATAATAAAAAATAATCACAATATTAGTCATATTAATTATGAAGTGATCAAAATGAGTTGCAAAATTGAAGACCACTAATTCAATCCACCTCAATTCATACTCATATTTTGCCCTTTGCATACACAAAAAGTATTTTTTGTATGATCAATGTGACGCTTGGTTTAATTTTTCCAAGATTAAGAGCTAATATTGGCTAGAGATGTCGTATCCAAGAAGATGATGATATCGTACATCGCATAATTGGAGTGGACTGGATAAAATGAAGGTTTGTACTCGGGTACTATATGATAAGGATGTGCTGTCAAGTCGTAAATGTAAGTTCTACAGAGGGATGATTAGAACAACGTCAAATGAACGAGTTAAACTGAATTTAAGTGAGTCAAAATGAGCTGAGTTAATAAATAGGCAGATCAAAAGTTATTTAAGTTGAAATAATGCATGCAGGTCATAACTCAATCCACCAAATTCTTATTAAATTTATTTTTCTAACTACATTTTTTGTATATAAATAAAAGAAAAATGATTTCCACACAAAAAATCTAGAAGTTATTTTTCCTTTCTAGTAAAGTCTATTTTCTAGCAACTAAACATTAGAAAATAACTTATTTAACTTTGAAAATCATTTTACCAAATAGTATACATGTAATTAGATGAAGTCACGCCTCTTTTATAGAATAATAATTAGCTAAACCTTTTGCTAAATATATTTGCTCATGTTAAATAGAAGTCCTAATTTGTACCAAAAATTTATTTCTTTATTGGAAAGAATTCTTTAATTACTTACTAAACATGTTTACATGATCTAATATATAGTTGAAAATGGAAGCAATTGAAATTGACAGAATGCTTCCACGTTTGTTTGAGTTGTATTGAAAGTCTTTATCTTTTTAATTCATTTCTTCCCAAAGAAAAATTCAAAAAATAAACTTTCAAATGAGAAAAAATCATTTCCCATTAAGTGTCCGATATTTATATTTGAGTCCGATTAAATCTGAATTCACATTGCGAAACTCATTTCTAAGGATGATGCTCCCAACAGAGTTTTTATCAATTTCAGAAGCTCAAACCCAAAATCTAATTAAGAGTATAAGAATCGAATCTCAATAATCCCACCACGTGGTCAAATGAGGAAAACTGAAAACTCTTCAAACTGTGAGAGATCATTAAAAAGACATATCACATAGTGAACCAATTGCCTAGCAATACAAAATAATTTGTTCCTTTTGCTACATTGAAAAGTCATTTAGCTTTGTGCATACAAACAAAAAAAATTAAAAAATTAAAAATAATGAATAAGTCTCTAAGTATATGCTTGCTCTAAATTCTTATATATATAGCTTGGCATATATTTATTCATTTCATAGACCTCTCTCATAAATCTACATTTAGACCATATTGTTATTTCTTCTGACTCTTCTTTTGGTATATTTGCTCTCACTATCTTTTTCTTATAACAAATTTCTGGTAATTTTCCTTTATTTATTTATTTTACTTTCTTTGATTTTTTTGTTATATTTATAAATAAAATCCCAATAATAGATTTTCTTTAATTTCCAATTGAATTTGCAGGTTTAAAGAGCAATGCTGTGTTATTGGTAAGTCATACAAAATCCAATCAGCATTTCTCTTTTTATTACTTATATTCTTATGTTAAGCCATGAAATGTCATGCCATCTTTCAATAATTTCTAGCATAACCGACAACAACTACGATAACATACTCAGTACATAATCCTACAAGTTAGGTCTAGGTCTGGAAGGGTATAGTGTACACAAACCTTATAACTCCTACATTAGAGAAGTTGTTTCCGATAGACCCCTAGGCCCTAGCTCAAGGAAAAATATAATGTAATGTAAGAAAAGCAATCTATATAGGTAATAATATAATACACCAACTTGTGCCACGTTCATTGGCCTACCTAGCTTATAAGTTACGAGTTCACATGAACTAGTAAATTTTGACCGGATCCTATATTCATAAACATTTGATTGTAAAATCTAGTTTTTATTAGTATATATTAACTTGAGATCGTTATAAAAAACATATACTTTAAATCTTAAATTTGCCTCTCGTTATTTTATTGTACAAGTTATTGTGGAGTGGGAAGGAAGTTTCTTTTCTTTGTTCTCACCACCGTACTATGAACACTTGGTGATGTTAGATAAGAATCATTCAGTTTCTATAGTTTCATGCACGTCTTTTCTTTATGGGCCACCTTTTCTCTTCATGGTCTTCAAGAGGTTTATATACAAGATTTATCGAAAACAATTTTCCTATATACATAACATAGTATTGGTGTTGAAATATACGACCAATAAGTCGGGATTAAGTTTTAGTCATGTTAATACATTTTGAAGTACTCTTTTTAGTCCTGTCGGAAATTTATATGACGCTAGAAGAGTAATAGCACTTTATTAGTATATACTCCTTCATATCCCATTTTAAATAAAAAATTTCTTTGATTATTATTTTTTCATATACATGTTTTTTATATAGTTAATTATTTCCACATATAATACTTATATATAAGTTCTTAATATGTAGAAAATAACAAAAAATAAGATCTCATGTCGTAATAGTAATTACCAATGAGAAATATATAGTTTAACCCTCGTAATCTAAATTCTCTTTTGTATATATGCTTAAATGAATTAAGTGTGGGTATTTATGTAACCGATCGCAACTTGCTTGGATTGAGGCGTAACTGTTATTACATTAATTTCTCTATTCTTCTTTCACATATCTTGTAAAACAAAAATAACTATTTGATCATCTTTCTTTTTTTTTTGCAGACTCCATATATAAACCAAGAGAAAAAAACAATATATCAACAAAAAATGGTGACCATAAAGAATTTCTTCAAGAAGGCTTCTCATCAAGATCAACACAATCAAGAAAAAGAAAAACTACTACAACATGATGATGATGAAATTAAAAATGGATGTTGTTGTTTCACTCCATTATATGAAAGATTCAAAAGTTTCTTCAATAATATTCAAGATTTTGCAAAGAAAGCTATTGAGATGGGTAAAAATGATCCAAGAAAGATCATTTTTTCATTAAAAATGGGATTTGCTTTATCATTTGTGTCTCTTCTTATTTTTTGGAAGAAACCAACTGATGTTGCTCAATTTGCAATATGGGCAATCTTGACTGTTCTTGTTATGTTTGAGTTCACTATAGGTACTAAAATCTAACACCCCCTCTCTTGTGTTTTTTACTATTATTTATCGTAGCAGGTAATTTGTCTTGCTTTTACAAAAATATTTTCAAGATTATAAATCTAGTTTGTTATATGAATGTTACATGTAAGTTTTCTAAGATGTGGAATTTGAAATCTTGAAATTAAGACTGATTCTTTGTTGTAAAAGATAAATGGTTTATATATTGATGGTGTACATGAGTTAGTTATATATATTATACATTGTACGTATAAAAAATATTACAATATCACATCACCTAAACGATTAACAAGCAAGTTACTATAAATTTTAAAACAAGTGATATTTTTCTTATTCTGAAAATTGGACAGATTATCTAGTATAACAGGTAAAAATGATTTAATGGTATAAAAATTACTTGTGCTGACAGTGTATACAACTTAAATTTATTGTAGAATGAGTATTAAGTTCTATGTATTAATGGTGTAATTTGACGATACAAAACATCTTTGGAACATTAATATGTATAACTTAATTAAATAGTTTTTTACTATAAGTTATCCTTTAATTTTCCATTTTTTTGTTAATTGCAGGAGCAACTTTTATTAAAGGATTTAATCGTGGCTTGGGAACATTTTGTGCTGGAATGCTTGCCTTCATATTTGCTCAATTAGCATTATGGGCTGGAGAAAGGGAAAAAGCTGTAATTGTTGTGAGCATTTTTATTGTAGGTAAACACTCTAATTTAACTAGCATAAATATCTACAATTTTCAGGTTAGATGTCCGGTTTGAGTTGAGTTTGGACGGGTTGAAAGTTGAAACTGGTGTTAATAAATGGTTTATTGGCTAATTCTATGAAACAATTTGTTATGGTGAGATGGATTGAGTTAAAATGGACTAAATAATTGGATCGTAGCTCAATCTATCCGACTCTTATCAATTTTTTATTTTTTTTTGTTTCTTTGTTATTTTATTATTTATTTATTACCAAACAAAACTTGTTTTTCTTTCTTTATTAAAGCTAATAGCTATAAATAATAAAACATATGAAATAAAAAAAAATGTGTGTTTATTTATAGTTTGTAAAGATCACTATAATGGTCATTTAGACCTACATACTAGGCCCAAATTATTCTAACTTTCAGATGGATTAAATTTGAACGGATCGAGATTGACTAAGTTAATAATAGGCGGTTTAATTAACGACCTTCATATTTTCATATGCTACTCTTTACGATACCCTATTCTTAATTGGGGATGTTACATAGTTGGTCGGTTCGTCAAAAATATTGACAGCTTTAAGCTAATATACATGATATACACTTAACACACATATGTATGCTGGTTATTTTTTTGAGTGGACGACTATTTATATTAATTTTACTTCAAGTTTAGTAAATATAATCTCATATGTATTATTTTCTTGTTCTTTTTTGCAGCATTTATAGGAACATATTTGAAGTTATATCCAACAATGGCACCATATGAATATGGATATAGAGTATTTATTTTGACATATTGTATTCTCATTGTGGCTGGAAATAGAACTAGAGAATATAATGTGGCTATTTTCACTCGTTTAGCCCTAATTGCTGTTGGTGCTGGTATTTGTTTGATGATTAATATTAGTGTTTGCCCTATTTGGGCTGGTGAAGATTTGCATCGATTGGTCGTTAAGAATTTCATGGATCTTGCAACGTCTTTGGAAGGTGCGTGGGATATATTTGAATATTGTTAATATGTATCGTAAGTAGATTACTTCTGATTGTTAAATTATTTAACGATCAGAGTCATTCTTTAATAAATGATCACGATGAAACTATCAAATTTTGTGGCAGGTTGTATCAATGGTTACTTAAGTGGTGTTGATTGTGATGAAGCTACAAATGATTCAGATTATAATGGCTACAAATCTGTTATAGAATCAACAAGTCGAGAGCAAACATTGGTACGTTTTAACATTGATGTGTTTACTAATTAAATGAGATGAATATATCGATGATTTTTAAATTTCATTTTGCCATTCGAACTATATAGTGTTATAATGGAACACCTCTACATATAATAAAATGTTCAAATTGGACATGGTTCTTTTGTAATTTTTTTTTATAAAATTAGGTCATATTCAAGAAAAATAGGATTGTTTTTTAAAATTACTATTTTTTTCCCTCCCTAGGAGCTTCCACCCCTTTTGCTCCCTTGGTGACTTGAACTCGCAACCTTCGGATTGGAAGTGAGGGGTGCTTACCATCCGAGCAACTCCCTCTAGTCATAAAATTACTACAAATGTTGATGGGAACCACAAATTTGGAGGAACAATTTAATTAATAATTATGTGTAGACACTTGGCTTAGTTCTTGTACTTGTTGGTGATGACCGTGAAAGCTAATTAGGCAAAGTTGGATGACTTTTGGAAGACAAAACAAAGTCGAGTGACTTTGGTGCCTAATTTTTATAAGTCGAGTGACCATTCAGACATTCAACTCCTTTATACATCAGGTGTTTCGTATACTCAATTGAAATAGAGTATAGTTTAAGTATCTAAATAAAATTTACTCTCGTCGCAAGGCTCATTTTTCGTTGTGGGTCATAAGGCGGGCAGCTTTATCTGATCAAGGGCCGGGGCACAAGGGTCCTGGTACTATCCAGGTGCGAAGAACCCCGGAGATGACTGCAATGAGCAGAAATCTCACTCACGGGCCTACTGATAAGTTTGAAGAATTGTCGACTTACTCGACCCGTCAATGTTGATCATGAATTTAAATAGAAAAAATCATATGACATATCCTAATTAATTTTTTATTTATTTGAACAGCTTGGATTTGCTATTTGGGAGCCACCTCATGGACGTTTTAAAATGCACAAGAATCCTTGGAGAGACATTGTCAAATTGAGCAGTGGATTGAGACATTGTGCATTCATGGTCATGGCATTGCATGGATGTATCCAATCAGAAATTCAGGTTTTACCATCTAACTAATTGTATTAATTATCTATGTTGCTCGAATCCTTCAACAGTATCGTTGCACTGTATCAGATTCTTCAAATATTACATTATTTTCTGAATGATTAGACACACGGTCAACGGCATTTTAAAAAAATCCGACCACATAACATAGACAATAGCTAGTCAAATTCTTATTTAGGTCGTACCTTTTGCATCATTTTCCACTATAAAGATGGAGGGGCCTGAAAAACACATAAATAACTTTTATCGATATATTTTAACAGGTTATTTAATTTAATACTCCAATATTTAAGTTGTCATATTACGAATTTACGATCACTATAGACATTAATTACCTATTATTATATATGTATGTCATGTTAACTAGTAAATCTAAATAATTTTTACATTATTCATATATTTTAATAATTATAACATATTATTTACTCCACTATTTAGGTTATCATATTATGAATTGTTTATAGTCAATTACATGTTGTCATAGGCCATCATAACCTTATATTATTAAAATATTGTACACTATCAATACATAGAAATTAAACGTCTAAACGTCTTTTTCAGGCACCACCAGAAAAAAGGAAGGTTTTCCGAAACGAGCTTAAGAAAGTTGGTACAAATGCTGCAAAAGTTCTACGTGAGTTAGGAACAAAATTAGAGAAACTAGAAATGCTAAATGGTCACGAAAATATCTTAAAAGAAGTGCATGAGACAGCACAAAATCTTCAAAAAAAAGTAGATCACAAGTCATATCTCTTGGTCAATTCAAAGAGTTGGGAAATTGGAAAATCGAACATTATTAATAACCTTGACGATTCTTCAAGTGAAAATAGTAGTGAAAATATACCATTAAGTTCTCGATCATTAAGTGAAACAGCTATCGACATAAGGTCATTACAAGGAAATTGGCCACAATCTGATCAATTAGTGGCAAAGTTAACACCATTTAAGAAGCAAAATCAATGGCCTTCGCGTCTTTCACTTGTTGATGGTGAAATTGCTGATACAATCGAAATGGAAACTTATTTAAGTGCGAGTGCTCTCTCCTTAGCGACGTTCGCGTCACTTCTCATTGAATTTGTTGCAAGGCTACAAAATGTGGTTGACAATTTTGAAGAATTAAGTCAAAGGGCAGAGTTTAAAGAGTCAATTAGTGTTAAAAGTTAAAGAGTTTACTAAGTATATGTTGATAATGTGATTTGTATTCAAGATGTGAGTTATTTTGTTTGTTTTTTTGGTGAAGGATTAGTTTGAGTGAAATGAAAAGAGAAAATGTATTGGTGATTTGTTTGTTGTGTGAGGAGGAAAAGGATTAGGGAAATGAAATTTGTATAATATTGGTGTGTGGAATATTTCTTGTATCATGAATTGATAGTTGTACTTGTACAAGGCCCAAAAATGTTATCAATAAATTGCGCGGTCTATGATGGCGAAATTAGAATATTCATAGAATTTCATAATATAAAGTAATTATGAAAAGGTACTATTAATATCATATTCAATATCAATCTGCCCTGTTTCGTCATTTCACATCGAGATAGAAGAGAAACAGTTAGATAAATGAGTCATTATGAAAAGGTACTATTAATATCATATTCGATATCAATCTGCCCTGTTTCATCATTTCACATCGAAATAGAAGAGAAATAGTTAGATAAGTGAGTCATCATGGATTATAGGGAGATCTTTTTGTTTTGCAAAATTTTGATAAAAGACCAATATGGTAGCTAAATTAAAGTAATTATTTTTATGTTCTAATTTGTGTGTTTTGTCTCAATTTATGAGACATAGATAAAACTTAAAAGACATCAATATTCCTACAATATTTAAAAATTTAATTATAGTGATTTACAGTAATTTTTATGTCATTTTCAAATAATATGTGTGTATCTCTCTGTTTCAATTTATGTGGCATAGATGGAATTTGAAGAGTCAATCAATTATTTTGTATGATTTCAAAATTGTTAATTACTATTAAGTTATATCCAAATAATATATGTTATTTCCTTTGTTTCAATTTATATGGTACTAATAAAATTTTGAAAGTTAATTAAATTTATTTTATATCTATTTTAAATTATTATATTATGACTTATAGTCTTTTTTACGAATTTTTCAAAAATATAATCAAATATTATAAGTGATTAATTATTAAGATAAAAAAAATATTGAAAAGGCCCACTACAAAAACACACCTCATGTAAACACGTTATTCATGAAATATTTAGAAAGATGTGACGTGATACTACAAATATAGAGTGGTCAAACGAAATAATAGAGAAAATGAATATTACATGCCAATTATATCTATTTATTTTATTTTTATTCGACATTTGAGATTTATTTTTGGGTTTGACTAATTTAAATTTATGTCAGAAATCTCATTTTAGAGGTAAAATTTTCCTTATCAGAGATAAATTTATATTTAAAGACCAAACTCAAAATATTTAACTAAAAATTAAAAAGTATTTACTACTTTACCATAATCTTCAATAGCATTGATCATGGATCTATGGTGATTTCACGTATCTCTTTCAAATAATTTAATTTGTTCTACTTGTTTAGTTAATATATTAATTAAGTCTCACAAATCACGATACGTCATCACTAAATAATTTGAGTTTAAAGGTGTGGACAATAGACATGCAGTATCTTTTTTCCATTTTAATACTCTTATAATTATTTGATTTGCCAACTACTAAACTTGATGATTGATTAAGAAATGTACTGTCTTACTCTCTTATACTAATGTTTATTGGAGTAATTATTTAAACAGAATGATTTTTATATTGGTTTACGTAAGATTTATGTACTATATTATTTTTATATATATTTCAATTAGTCAGACTCTTTTTTTCTATTCAATATCTATAAAATAAATTGATATGAGTACGCAAATTACTACAAACTTGTCGGTAAAGTTAATCAAATCTAATTACTTAAAACTAAGAAAGAAAAATAAAATGAAGATTAAAGATATAGGGTGTGTTTGGTGTAAAGGACAATATTTAGTGGTCGTTTAGTAGTATGTGTGTAACAATGATGTTGAATATGATGTATTAGCAATGCAAGAATTAATAATGCCATGATTAATTATGCTAACATTATTTATTATTCACTATTTTATTTGGTGTATTAGACATATTAAAAACAACATGCATTGTATAATTTTTAGAAAATTATTTGTTTACAAAATTACCTTTCATACTCTTTAGCTTTGTACACTTGGGGACAGTTTTGTCTTAAACCATGTTTATATTAAAGGTCTTTGTATTTGTAATATCATGATTTTCTATATACTAATTATATATAAAATAATACCATAGGGTAGATAATTAATATTTTTATAATTTATGCATATGTTGAAAAGTTATATCAAACAAGAGATCATTAGTGTTAATATTGAAATTAATATATATATTATTTTCATTGATATGTACATCTTACCAAATGAACCCTTAAGACTTTCAAGTTACTTGTTGATGGTGAAATTGCTAATACAGTTGATTTGATAACTTATTTAATTGCTAGTGCTTTGTCTTTTTGTCTACTATCACTTCTTATTGAATTTGTGATATAAATATAGTTGACTATTTTGATCGAAAAGGTAATTCAAAGGCATAGTTTAAAGAGATAATTATTGTTAGGAGTTAAATCCTTTGCTAAAGTATATGTTAATAATGTGATTTGAATTCAAGATGTGAGCTTTTTCCCCTTTCTTGTGAAGGAATAGTTGTGTGAAATGAAAAGAGAAAAATATTGATGATTTATTTGTTGTCAATTTATTTAGAAGAACGTGATTGTGGATAGCTAAATAAAAAAAAAACATGAAAATCAATAATTAAAATGAAAGTATAATAAATAATGCAATTTGTTATATAAGAGAGATAGGAGATCAATCTCCATCTCGCATAATTAGAAATAATCTTTTTACCCTAAAAAGTAGATACTATAAAATTATATTACATTCTATATTTTATGAATCTACTTATAAAATTATGCTCAATATATTGTTATGGTTTGTTTTAACTTTTATATTCTTCACTCAATGTGCCCATGTCTGCTAATCAGTGAATAGATCCAAAATATAAAATAAAAAATAAAAAAGATCCCCCTATGCTCCTATCCTTGTTCTATAGGCCCCTTCCTCTTATTTTATTTTAAGCATGTTAATAATAATTAGAATAGATGTTTTTAACACTTCTAGAATTAGTAAGGTAATACAAGCTTCTTTTGTTAGTACTTTTTTGTTTGAAGGTGTGTTCTGAAAACAAGTTATATGAGTACTGACATTTTATATTGATTGCGTTTAGGAGCGTATTCGAAAGGGGTCATCGAATTCACGTAAATTTATGTGTTTTTTTTAGATCATGTAGAATAGTGTTATAAATTTTTTTAAGATACTTAAATATAGATGTGTGGATTCACACCAAAGTATTATATAATGCGATGATAATTAGGTGCAGCTGTGCAACTCTCTGATTGAGGATATATAGAAATTTACATCTTATATTTATCTTGTCTTTCGTTTTAAATTTGGGTAACATCTCTCGCATATATAAGAATTAATTTTGGATCTATAATTTTAAAGGTTTAACGAGTTCAAGTGATAAAATGTTAAATCGGTCAAATTTATATATTAGATCCCCCTTTTCATAATAGTGCGTTCATCCTCTCGAAATTCTGAATACGCCTCTGATTATGTCCTCCCTGTTTTTTGATACACTTCATTTTCACCTGCACACTTCTATCAATCTTCCTACTCAGATGTGACAATCTAGTTTATGATAAGAAATCTCACATCGACAAAATACATGAGAGATGTTAGATATATAAAGGTAAGCATACCTTTCAAACTAGTGGTGCGTTTTAAAATATTGCGGGCATAGATCCTGAGCGGACAATATTATTAGCGGACTATGCCGTTATAGATGATCAAAGTCATTCATGTGTTAGTCTTGTTGATGTGGATCAGAGTTCAACTGAGTTTAGACAAATCCCGATAAAGTGTGGTAAACCTCAATGTTGAATGTAGACAAACTTCATACGATCGAATAAACCTCAACAGAACGTTGAGTCCATGAGATAAGGTGTATGTGACACCCAACTTAAGAAAAAGAAATCTCACATCATTAATCTAATTAGTATTTAAGAAAATATTTTCTTTCGTATCGAACTGAATATCACTTTATTTTATATATATATAACTACCTCTTTTAATATTTAAGAAAACTAAATCATCAAATATTTTTTAAGTAAATTTTGGTTGGAGTGAATCTTGTTAGGTGTCACAATTTGACAAAAATAGTAACTACCTCTTTTAATATTTAAGAAAACTAAATCATCAAATATTTTTAAGTAAATTTTGGTTGGAGTGAATCTTGTTAGGTGTCACAATTTGACTGCTTCTTTAAAAAAAATATATATGTATTCTTTATTTTTTTCCATTTTAAGATGACGTAAAAATTAAAGGGAGGTCAAATTGTTAGGTTTTGTAATAATAAATATAGATAGGGACATTATATTATGGTCACGTTGTGACATATGCCAAGAACAATAATGCATTACCTAAAGTATAATATTTAGTGATATTAAAGTTGTTGACTATTGTCAATTATATAATAAGAGAAATATTGGAAAGTGTTTCAAGGCTAATAAAGAAATTTCAAAGTGCTTATTTTAGGATGATATACGTAAATGAATTACTTAAAATTTACTAAATAAATGTGAATTCATATATTACCAGATAGATCCACCTCCATCTAGAAAGCTTAAAAAGTTATGTATGCTTAATTTCATCATATATGAGAACGGTAAATATTCATCTGCATCGATGGAATATATATCATATTATTATAATTTATTTTAATTAAGTAATTTGACAAAGTAAATATATACATACACGTATACATATAACATATAGTTATTGATTTAATGTAAATATTTGATGCTCATAAATTTTATAATATTTTAATTGAAATTAAAAGTTTTGGAAAGCGTACGAATTTTTCCTTAGGTACCATTGTCCTCGAAAAATCAAACTTTGTTACAAAAAAGGGATACATTCTCTTCATTGGTGAGAGGAGATGTTAGGGCAAAGAAATATACGTTTAAACTATGACTTGTTTTATTTGTTCCCTCAAATATATAATAAATGTTTTTATTAG